ATATCTGTTAAAACTGGTATATCGCGACACAGCCAATGCTCATTTAGTGTTGACAAAAAACTACCAGTACATCAACAGATACCATGGATTCCAGTTCTGTATGGAAAAACACGCAACCCACACAGAAAAACAAAATGATGGCGACAAAGGACAGTCCTAATTTACATCCCTCCAGAGAGAGCCAGCCTTCATCGACTCCTAAAGAACGAGGAAACTTCCCCAGGATTTCGAATTCTCCATTTATTTCTACAAGAGAACGAACCCAAAAAACTACCCTGGTCATCGGAAGTTCTATTCTTCAACGAATCAAAACCCGAGGCTTAGATTCGAGTGTGAATGTTAGTACTAATCGTGGTGCTAACATATCACACATCCGTACAAAATTTCAAAGATATGATATATCTGCCATCGAAAATGTCATCATCCAGGCCGGCGGTAATGATGTAGCTAACCTGCGCAACATCGATGCGATTCAGAATGATTTCATTGAAATCATCGGAGATCTAAAGAGGAGAAAACATACCATTTCCGTGTTCATATCAGAAGTGATGCCAAGGTGTGATGCGGATGTTACTGAAATTAATGAGTGCATAAAGTATATATGTGAGGAGTATGGTGCTACGCTTATCGAGACCAGCGGATCATTCAAGCACTGGAATTCCCCTTCCTTTTGGAGAGATGGCATTCATTTGTCTGATCGCGGTACTTCCTTGCTTCTCAAGCTGTACAATACCCATGTACTGCTTTTACTGTGGAGAGCAAGGCCATTCCTCGCGAAACTGCCGACATGGAAACAAAGTTGTATGTTGGTATTGTGGTGAGCATGGTCACAAACAAAAGTTTTGTACCAGATAGGGTCACGGCAATGAAAGCTGTGCCGGTGATACGAATAACTGTCCCACTATCAATGTCAAAAATTATTTTGATCCTTTGAATAATCTCTGTTTTGACTGTAACGAATTAATTTGCACCTGTTCTTTAATTAATAATTGCTCAAATGATTTAAATCTTACATCAGAACTGATAGATACTTGTTTTAATAAGGAAAACACTTTTTCGAATCTTAAACAAACAAATCCTAAAAATTCTTCTCCAAAACCAGATACCTCAAATGAAATAAAACAAAACATATGTAAATCAAATCTTGGTTTAATGAAAAAGGGCCTACATTTTATTAATTTGAATGTGTGTCACATTATGCCAAAATTAGATGAATTGGTTTTGTATTTACAAGAACAGCTTTACACTGATATATTTTCCTTATGTGAAACATTTCTTGATGAAAATATTAATGATTGTAGTATAAATATAAAAGGATATTGTTTGGAAAGAAAAGACAGAGTAGGAAAGGCTGGTGGTGGACTTGTTACTTATATTTCAATTGATTTGAAATAAAAAACGCCGTAAGGATTTAGAAATAAGCAATATTGAGACAATGTGGCTTGAAATTAATCTTAAAAATTCTAAACCTATACTTTATTGTTCAGTTTACCGTCCACCATCTGCCCCCTCCTGCTGGGTAGATGATTTTGTCCAAGAGTTACAGTGCGCTACCTGCTGTGACGACCAGGAAGTGATTATTGCAGGTGATCAAAATATTGATATGCTTAAAGAACCCCCGCGGAGTTGGTCATCTGCAATTGTAGACTTTGGTTTAACACAATTAATTAACACCCCAACAAGAATTACTAATAGCTCTAAAACTCTTATTGACCATTTCTACACTACGCACCCTGCTAACATATGTGAAATAACAGTACCCCCTGTAGCGATGTCTGATCATTATCCTATATGTGCCACACGAAGATCTAACAGCATGCAAAGAAAAGGCAAACATATTGAAATACAATACCGTGACTTCAAAAATTTTAATGAAACAAACTTTTTGCATGATTTAAACAATGCAAATTTTGATGAATTAATTCTACTGCATGATCCCAATGACATTTTAAACGGTTTTTATGATATTTTCAATGCTATAATCAATAAGCATGCAAAAGTAAAAACAAAGCGTGTGAAATCAGAATTCCGCACTAAATGGTTAACTCCAGAAATAAATAATGCTAGGAATTTTCGAGATCAATTTCATAAACAGGGAGACATGGATAATTTTAGACTTTGGAGGAACAAAGTCACATCTTTAATAAATAATGCAAAATCTACGTATTATAAGGATGTAATTGAAAATAGTTCTACTTCAAAGGAAATGTGGGGCCACTTAAATCAGCTAGCCTCAAAATCAGACAAAAACTCATCTCCTTCCAATATAACATATAACGGTCTAGATCTTGATAATCTACAAGATATTGCAAATGCATTTAATGAGCATTTTGCCCAAACTCCAAAAAAATTAATAGATAATCTTTCGTTTACTGCTTTCAAATCAGAAAAATTGAAAAGATACACGGAGACAAAACTTGGAGATCAAAACTTTTTTGAAATCCCTTTGATTAATGAAGAAAAGGTATTCGAAATGTTAAAAAGACTTGATGTAAACAAATCTGCTGGTATAGACTTTCTTGGACCTAGATTGCTTAAACTGTCAGCTAGTATAATATCCAAACCTCTAACACACTTGATAAATTCTAGCATAATCAATGGATCTTTTCCTTCACAATTAAAGGTCGCAAAAGTAACCCCCTTGTTTAAAAAGGGCGATAAATCAGACCCAGGAAACTATCGTCCAATCTCGATTTTACCAACGATATCGAAAGTTTTAGAGAAGCATGTAGCAGAAAATATACGCATCTTTACTTCTCACTTTGACTTGCTAATGAAAGCACAATCTGGATTTCGAGAACTTCACTCATGCCAGACAGCTCTCACAAAACTAACTGATGATTAGTTGCATGCAATAGATAAAGGAAATTTTGTAGGTATTACATATCTGGATTTTAGCAAAGCATTTGATCTTGTTAATCATGATATACTAATTAAAAAACTTGAATGCTATCACTTTGATCCAATATCAATTAATTGGTTTAAATCATACTTATATAATCGAACTCAAAGTGTTAAAATTGGTGCGTACACATCTGAATCACTGCCAGTCACAGCATGTGTGCCTCAGGGCTCTATTTTAGGTCCTTTGTTGTTTCTGTTGTATATTAACGATTTACCATTGTCTGTTGAACATTGTAATATTGATATGTTTGCTGATGACACTACAATGCATCTTCATGATAATAGTATTTCGCGTATTGAAACCACTCTTAATCATGCACTCTGTCAAATACAAAAATGGTGTCAACAAAATCAGATGATTATAAATACTGATTAAACAAAGTGTATGTTAATGGGAACACACCAAAAAAATCTAAATTAGAAAACGTTAATTTTCATTTACAACTTTCCGATCATCCCCTTGAAAATGTAGAAATGCAAAAATTATTAGGTGTTCACATTGATCATAATCTTCAATATACTTGTCATGTAGATGCAGTTTGCAAAACTCTTACATATAAATTATTTACTTTACGAAAAATCAAAAAGTTTCTTCCAATGCGTACTAGAAAACTATTTTATAATGCTTTTATCCTGCCATCGATTTTATATTGTCTATCCATTTGGGGCAACTGTCCTTAAACACACATGGACAGAATCTACAGATTACAAAAAAAAGCAGCTAGGATTATTTTAAATGAAAAATATGATACACCTTCAATGCCTTTATTTAACACTTTAGGTTGGCTAACAGTTTATGAACTTTTATATTTACAGAAAAGCATTTTAATGTACAAAATATTTCATGGAATCCCCTGATTATATGCATAATCTTTTTGAATTTCAAAGTTCTGGATCATACACTTTACGATCAGAAACAAATTCCGAACTTCGACCACCAAAATATAAAACAAACTTATTTAAAAATTCTTTACAATATTCAGGGGTTATTATATGGAATGAGTTACCAATTAATATAAGAAATTCTCAATCCCCTGCAATATTTAAAAGAAGTGTTGAAAATTTTCTACTTATAAAACGCAATGATTCTGTGTGATTTTTTTCTTTTTCTCTATACTGAAATGCTGATGTTTTTATTTGTTTGTAACATACTGATTGATTATTTATTGTCTCATAATTGTAATTTTATTTATTGTATATATGTATATGTGTTTTTAAAGAAGGCCCTGAGGAAGACTAGTCTTCGCACTAATCGGGTTACCTTCTCTAAATAAAGTATTATTATTATTATTATTATTATTATTATTATTATTATTATTATTATTATTATTATAATCATAATCAAATTTACTCAAATAGGTTAACTAGATATTCATGATCACACCTACCAGCAGACACTGTGTCATCCTCAAGAAGTGTAAAAGCCTTAACATTGAGATATCTGCATTTCCTGTTTCACTCACACTAAACTCCCTCCTTCATGATCAAATTCAAACTTAACCTCCTATCTGAAATGACCCTTAATTGATAATTAAATTGACCAATCAGAGGCCTTTACTTCTCCTGAAAGTTCCAGGCGTAATTTTTGTTTCTATTTTCCTGCCATTTTACGCCCGGAAAATCTGAACTTGCCAATTGACGCCCGGAAATTACAAATGACGCCTGTAAGACGTCTCTTCTACTGAGGCGTAACTCTTTGAAAATTCCGTCTCCGCCTCAAGTACGCCCGGAATTTGCCAATTCCTGCTCAATTCCACCCAAATTACAGGCGGAATCCGCCTTTAAAATTCATACAGTTTTGATTGAATTTGGCCTGGAGGTAAAGTTAAACAACAGCAACACCAGACATCAGGATCACAAAGTCTTAGCTGAACCATGAAAGACTTGAAGTGAGCTTCTAAAGTCAACTTAATATGAAAATGATATGTACAAGTACAAACATTGAGTAAAAGCATTATAATTTATAAATCTTTCATATATAACATATTGATAGATTATATTTAAAATGAGAAATCTTGAAAATAAAATCTTGATATGTTATACATATTTATATTTAAAACCTTTAAAATATTTATAACCTTTCCTGTTCCCTGTGTCTATAATCCAGCCTCGATACCATGTATTGCCTCACTTGGAATTGTGCTAAGCAGCTAAAATGTAAAGTAAATGTAAATATGAAACACATTGTTCATATATCAGTATGTTTATTTCAAACTACAATGTATTTGATTCAGATTTTGAATTAACGAATTGCAAATCTTCTAGTTTATCAATGAACCTATTTAAATGTCTTGTTTCACTCATAGGAAAAAGTACATGTATTTGAATTGGCTAAATTGCATATGAATGACTGTTACCAAGATATTTTATTTTATTCATGGTGCTTTAACTGAGACCAACATTAAAAATAATTGGTTTGATGTACTCCGACTGACACACACACAAACCCCACATACTTTTTTTCCCTAGCACTTTGAATTTCTAATAATTCTTTCTTCAGTTTCCAAAAAAAATTTACAGCTGAGGTATATATTTGAATTTTATTTCTCCAAGATGCTTTTCATTTGAATTTTTTTTTCAGCAATAAATATTTATATGTCTACCTATCCATTGTGTATTGAAAGCCTGGATAGATTTAGTTTGTTCCATAGGAACTGCAAAGCAAAAAAAAAAAATACTACCTACCTAGTACCTATATACCCACTTTGAATGATATGGGCCAGAGTACATCTAACAAAAATATTTTTGATGATGGCCTGATGATCACCTCTTTAATTGTGTTTTTTTACACTGTGATATACTTACAACCAACTCCCAAGGTTTCATTTGTACCTCAGCGAGAGGCCCTCCTCCAGTTTTCATTGCCTCTCTCTTTCTGAAGGCTTCTTTCTTTTTGATAGATGATTGGACATCCTGAATCCTTTTCTTAGTTTCATCTGTTGTTCTTGAACAACCTATCGACACAGAATTCACCCTAAGAAAAAAATAAAAGGACTGTTTAGTGTTAACAACAGTACTGTTTTGACATCTAATTTTTAAGTTGATTAGTTTAATACCAGTATCTGACTATCATTACCCAATGATTTTCATAAGAACTGCAAACGATATTGTATAACTACAGTTATTAACTGTGTTCTGTCAGGTTAGGACACCCTGGTCCAGTCTCCGTACAGATAGTTAACCCAACATACAATGTACAATACATAGGCATCAACCCTGGTGACTGTTGTATGTGTGTGCATGCACGTTGTAAAAGACTGAATTATAAACAAATTATACAAATTAACACATTGAATTTCAAGCAAAATGTCTTGACCTACTAATTTTTAACTGTCAGATACACTGTACATTATAAAATTAATAGAAATCACTCAGGAAAATAGGAACAATGTAAAAAAAAAACTTAATAACACTAATTGGCTTTTATATAAATAAAATTTTGCACCATGAAATTCAGATTAATTAAACCACAAATATTGTGTCAAAGCCCTAAAAGTATATTCCAGGATAACTTGTAACATGATTATCAATATTTAGCTTAACAAATAATTCACAGATAGATGTACAAATCAAAACATGTCTATGCTTACATTTCAACAGATGACAAGTCTTCAGTATGAAAGTTTCAATTATTACACATAACACTGATTAAAGTGTCTAGTAAAGATATCGGCATCATCGGCGTCGGAAGCAAATTGAAAGTGGGGGAGGATGGGGGGGGGGGGGTAATCGAAAGTGGAGGGGGAGAGGCAAAACCAACAAAAAAGGTAAATCCCAATTTTCAATGCCTACATAAGGTCAATTTTTGTAACCCCCCCGCCCCCCCCCCCCCGGTTCCGATGCCTATGAGCATATTGAAATACACCGTAATAATTTTTCATAATAATCAAGTGCTTTCAAACTCTGTGATAGGCTCAGATTATAGAATCGCAATTTCACTCAAAAAACACAACAGAGTCATATTAAAGTCAATAGTCAAAGAGAGAGAGAGAGAGAGAGACTTAGGTGCAAATAATTACGATAGTTTAGAACTTACTTGTTAGTAATCGCCTCCCAGGCTTTTTTCTTGGAATCCGTGGTAAGCCCGGGAGAGAGCTTACCACGGATTACTTTTACTGATGAGGCGTAGGCCTCAACCAGTACCTCCATTTCGAGGTCTGTCCAGTTAGGTTTTCTAGGCTCTTTCTCCATTTTCTCCATTGTAATGATTGTTGCAGACGATCACGGAAGTAGCATTGGGCATGCGCAGCATCCGTTGCTAATGCACTTTACAATCTCTTTTTAGAAGAGTTCCAGTCGTAAACTACGTGGAAAGTTACGTTAGGATCTACGTTTACGGGCGCAGATACGACCTTTAGTAAAACGCTATCAACGCACTCGTAAATTCAGTCGTAAAGTCTACGTTTACGTCTACGTCTACGGCAAAATTTACGACTTTTAGTAAAACTCGGTACAGGTACTTTGGAATCAATTGCCTTTTCCTATGATAACCTTGTTTTAATAGAGAAAGACGGGCTTAAAACATCAATTGACATTTTTTTTTGTTTTTTATGAAGGACATGTTCAATTAAAATGTCTGCTGCTTTCTTTTTATCATTCCACTCCACTAAAATCATCCTATTCCTTTAAATATGAGTGAACAATTCTCCAGTGGGACTTTAAACAACATATATTCAATCAATCAATCAACCATAGTGCTTAATGTTTCAAACATATTCGAGAATCAATGGTATGCTTTGGGTCCAATCATTTTCTTAAAGGATATAGTCTTTTTACAAATTACTTGATATTATATAGATTTTAACAAACTGGATTAAAGTCAGTGTTTCCTTAATTCCATAGTAGCAATAATGACGTTGTGAATGAGTACAATTTGTCAATGGATTGTTTTCATTTTGAAATACATTTATTTCGAAAAATACATGATTGGCTAAGAAACTGGTGTTGGGAACTGTTTAATGAATATTTACGATAACGAACACTTTTAAGAATGGGATCTTCTTCCTTCTCAATTGTTATTTTCGACAGTTCTTTTTGATATTATGGTTGCAACCATCCGTTTACCGCTCCACTCAGTAAATTTCAGCTGCAGATTGCGATCTTTCCATCAACATTATTGGCTTCAAATAACAATTGAGATGATAGTAGTTCCCTCCTTCAATACATATTGAAAGCTACAGTGTAAATTTGGCTGCGGGATATTCCCTCTATACCGTCGATTATTGGATTCATTTGGAAGCGACCGGTCGACAGGGATTTTATGCACTTTATAGCAACCGATCCAACCTCTTGAAAATTCTGGTAATGCTATCCGCCTTTAATGCCCTCTACAAAGAATTGTACTGGGAAGTTATCAAAAGATTGATCAGAGTTTTATATATGTATTTTTAATTTATATATCGGGTTTTGTTTTTATTCATCATATCTTTCACAGAAGGGAATATTTTCGAGGACCACATCTATTTACTCCAAGGAGCGCAGCTGTCTTGGCAGGAGGCCAAGGTAATTTTTTTATTAAAATCAAAAGTCGATTCCGTATTATTTATGGTGAATTTCTCTTAAATATAATTGTCATTAACAGGAGAAATGTGGAGAATTTCAGGCATATTTGACAGAAATAAACTCAGAGAGTGAAAATATTTGGATAACACAGAAGTTGATGAATCCCTTCTTTGGAAAGACTAGTAAGAATACAATACTTTATTATTATCATTCTGATTTGCGTAGTCATTCTATTAGTTAGAAAAAAAATGATATCGTTTATTTTGTATTTACTTCGCCACAATATGATTGACATCATCAATTTCCCTGAAGTTGCCTTTCAGTTGTGCATTGCATGAAAAACAAGACGCAATTGTAGTGAAGTGGAGAAGACATTTTATCTCTGTACATATTCTCGGTCAAAGCAAGATGTGTTTGTTTAAAACGGATTCTCCCATATTACAGCTTTAGCCAAAAGTTGAAGTTTTTCAAATGTTAGTCAAACTCCAAGATCAAGAGATGAGAAATGTTTCCCAATTAGAATATATTCAATGAATTAACCTGTGAAGTTTGACAGTTCACACTCTTAGCATTAAAATATTATGGTCAAAGTTAATTTTTTTAATGTGGTCAAACTCCGAGGTCAAATTAAAGGTATCTAGGGGAATACATAAGTAATACACATGTGATAATTGAAGCCCTACCATCTATTGTTAAAAAGTATTTGCCAAATGAAAGTTTATCAGACTAGGCCAAACTCCCTGGTCAACGTTAATAGGTCCAATTTTTTAGCATCCAAACAAGGCCTCGACAAATGGAATGCAGTTCTGAAATTTGAAGGCACTGATACTTTAAAGGGTTCACATGTTCACTTCAAGGTTAAAGTTTAGCTGAAAGTAATGATAATAATAATGATAATAAAGCGTCTTTCTAGCACAAATGCCACTCAAAGCTCTTTACAATACATTATTACAACAGCAGACCATAACAATTAAACACATCAGTGCAAGCTACCGTTAAAGCGCTAGAACACTTATATATACAATATCTTTCACTGTCTATAGCTTGGTACCCCTTTAACACTTGGGAAGAGTGAAGAAATTCACAACCTTTTGGTGTGGAGTCCGGCACCTTAACCACTAGACTACCGACGCCACTCAAAGGAAACTAAAGTTTTTTAGTTAAACTCAAAGGTTAAGCCCATAGGGTCAAAATATTAATATAATTGAAATGGTGTGGAATTTAAAAACAAAGGAAGAATGAAGGCCATAATACTTACCATTCACAGGTTATAGTCAAGGTTAAAATTGTATATTGCAAAATTTGGTCAAAATTTTGATGTCAAAGTCCAGAAGTCAAATTTGTGAGTACTCAAATAAAGGCACACGAAATTGACATGTGAAATATGATTCATAGCTGCAACCAATCAAAAGTTAAAGTTTTTGATCACAAATAGACGGAAACAAAGGCTAAAAAAACTATATACCATTGAATCTTTGATTGCAGGGGCATAAATATTGAACACTTTTGATAAATGAAAACACTATGAAAGCTTAACTTAGGTATGGAAATGTATAGAAGCATTTTTTTTCTTTAAAAGTGTAAATAAAACTTTTTTTTCTTAATTTTTACAGCGAAGGAAAATACATGGATTTCTGTTGTATGGATCGGAGCTAATGATAGAGAAACTGAGGGCGGCTTCATTTGGAGCCATAGCAAAACGCTACTTGATAACGAGGCTTATAAAAACTGGTACCCAGGGGAACCAAACAATACTGGCAACGAGGATTGTGTTCTTATGGCACATTTTCTTAACGGGACTTGGAATGATTTTCCATGTTCACAAAAGCGTCCATTTATTTGTGAAAAAGAGTTGCAATGAACAAAAAAATTTAAGTTAGTCCGAACCTCAGATTTATAAAATTAGCAGTTAAGTTACAGTGTATCAAAATTACTCATGTGAATGCAAAAAATTTTCCACAGTATTTCTTGAAAGTTAAAAATTAAAACTAATCATATTACCGTATATACTCGCCTATAAGTCGGTCCGCCTATAAGTCGGTTGTATTTTTTGACGTTATTTTGATGGGATTTGCTATTGACCCGCTTATAAGTCGGTACAACTTTTCGAAAGAATCAGATGACAATTTCAAATAAAAGCTCTGATATTTTAACCTGGTTTCAATTAATATTTTTCGATATGACACTGATATTTAATCTTTAATTATGAAACATAAAGGCAATGTTACTTAAAATGCAAATAAAATCATTAAAATATGTATATACTTGTACTTTATATATATAATCTAAGAATACATAAATCTTATATATCCTGACAATTTCTTTGATAATCATCGGAAATGCAAATAAGATACTTCATTTTAGCCCCCCAGACAAATTCCAATCTCTTTATGACTCGCCTATAAGTCGGACATAGAGTTTTAGATCAATATTTAACTCCCAAAATACCGACTTATAGGCAAGTATATACGGTACATGTATATAGAGAAAATTGTCAAATCTCTAATATTTTTGCAGAAAAAGCGAATTGGAATACCAGCAATTCATTTTCTAATTGCAAATTGAACAACAAATATCTTTAAGGTTAAAAAACGATAGGTATCCAGCCATTTAGGTAAATTGTCATGATTTTTATAAATCTTATCCCTAACTTGATTCTGTGCCTATTTTTTTCATATTAATTCAGCTTCGGCGTCCGAAAACTCACTACTGCTTTGGACTTTGAATCCAAAAAATGAACATAAGTTACACAGACATTTAAAATCTTATTTATTTTCCATGCATTAAAATTTGCGAATATGTGGAGGTACGGTGGGGTTACAACTGCGCTGCCGCCATTTTGGATTTTACGAGAATATATGGGGCATACTTAACTTAACTTCTCTTGAGCTGTCATCGATCCCACAAATCTGGACAAAACACCTGACGAATTTATGCCATCAAATTTTGTAACACGATCGCCTATTTTTCTTTGATTGTCAACTTCGTCTTTTTCTCACAGTTAGATCTCTTTTACGCAATACATGTAGTTTGAGCGAGATTGGATAAAAACATGCTTAGTTTGACACTCGCTAAAACCATTCAAGAACAAGAAAATAGAAATAGAACACCATATGATAGATTGTAGTCTATGTAAACATTCCACCAAATGGCATATCCATCCGTTAGCTTGCGTCCGAGTAATGAGCAAAACTGTTTTAGTTTTTTTTAAAAGAATTTTTTGATTTGAGCATATTATGTCTTTTGAATTACGTCATTTTTATGGTCAGTATGTTGAACATTCTATATTTTGACGTCATTTTCAGAGAAGTTAGGTCATAAGAATTATAAAGTGACGTCACAATATGTATATATTTTCTGATCTTTCCAATAATATTAAATTCAATAATTTCCATAAAACGGTTATTTTTTTTAATCAGTTGTCAGAACTTTTGAAATGCCCCTCGTATATTATTAATTCAACACATTTGATATATATGAAGTATTTCTACTTCGAATTTACAATCGTTTTGTGAGGGGTTTTTACATGTATTTCCTACCGAAGATTTTTTTTTTACATAAAATGGAATTACTACTTCTAAATTTTCATATTATTACCCCCAAAAATCATTTTGATAAATAATTTATTTCGTCTTACTTTCATTGCTGTAAACTAATGCCTTTCTATACAAGCTTAATCATCTCAAGGGATTGAGGATTGATTGGTTGTATATTGATTATATGTTCGAGAATTTTTCACACATATAGAGACGTCATGGCATGCCGGTGAAGGGCTTCAAACTACGACCTATACTCGACACTCAGGGTCATTGAACAGTAAGGTTTATTTACCCCCCGTTCACACA